TGGTAAATATACAAAATTTATAGCACATGTCTAAAAAATTGTGTTTTATAAATAGATTAATTGTTCATAAAAAACTATTTTTAAAACCATCATCCTGAAATTGAATCACATTTCTAATGGATTATTTACTAAAATGACTTTCACATGAAAAAACAATACTACACAATTTTAAAAGAATCAAACATTTCATCAAAGACTATTTATCATAATGTTTCTTTAATAATAATTTATCTTTTTTTTAAGATACATCATATTTTTTTAAAATAACATATTAATATTTAAAAAAATATGATCATAATAAATTGATAATTTCTGTAAAACATATTTATTTTTATTTTATATATTATTAACTAACAAAAAATAAATATATCAACAAAGTGCTTGTTTTTATCAAAATTATAGTATAAAATAAAAATATGTATACTGCTACTCTGCTGGCCCCCTCCTATTTTGCACCAGTTTCAAAATTGGGTTGGTGCATTTTGGGGAACTTCGAACCGGCTACAAAAGGGAACACAATCTGTTCAAACTATTGTTAAACTGCTGAAATTGATACAAATTCTCAATGAACTCAACTCCAATTTCAATCACCAGAGCGCGATGATCATCGATTTATAGGAGAAACAATCGCAGAGGTAACTCAATAACTCAAATCAATTGACTATTACATACCTATTTATCTAATTTGTGTTGCGTTTTCGTTCATTACGTCGATCAGTGTGAGGTCTTTAGTGTTATATGTTGCAATATCTTAGTGCCAATGATTAGTTTCAAGTTATCGTAACAAGTGATTGTATATTAAACTATTGAGCGATGTTTTTTTTTCGTATTACCATTTGTGCTAGTAGAGCTCGATCCGGAGTGATCATCAGAATCTTCATCGGTTTGGGTGTCCTGAACATTTTTCATGGCATGCTTAGGAATGTAGTCGTTTAAGGTGCCTCTAGTCCTCCACCTTGACCCACACGCATTACACAATACTGGCTTCTCCGGTGGCCCATTTCTCCATAATGGAGTCTCTGTTAAACATTGTAATCCATCAATTAATTCCCTTTACATTATTGTACAACACAAATGTCTAATATCATGCTTCAAATGTGTGTATATGTATACATTATGCATAGTTATAGATGAAAATGTGAGAAATAAACTTGGAATCATTTTAAAGATTGTACAATGTCAATCATGTTGGCACAACTAGTGCTTCTATGATTAAACTTCTGTTGAACGCTCTAAGTAATTCATGTATCAAGTCCAAAAAAAACCAATTTTGTTTTGTGGTCACTTATTACTCAAATCCACCACTCAATTTAAATTTTATTACTTATATAGACAGATTTGGGATTTGGCATTCTGTTAGATCAGAAATAAGGAGAGTTATTTCCATTGAAAGGTTATTTATGTCATTTATAACATATCAATGTTCAAACCAATTTTGAAAGTACATATAGGTTACACTCCTAATACTAAATCACATTAGCACAAAGAAATCATGCTCAAGGTTGCCTAACATTCTCCCAATTATATACTATTTTGTAACGGTTTTTTAGTAGTATCCGATCTTTATGACAACACATTCAATGACAAAATATTTTCTCCACATACAAGAAAGGTAAATAATAAGATAAATATCATAGAAATGAAAATGAAATGCATATACAAAAACAAAATAGGAGTTAAATTGGTAGATTGGTAAAGCCTTACGTTCAATCCCACAATGGTAGCAAGGTCCTTCTTTCCCCATGAAAACTGTTGCCTTATGAACCTTTCACACTACTACAAAAGCAACCAAATCAAACACAAAAGCAACAAGAGTTTAAAACTTAAAAGATCAAATTGTGATTTGTGATACGGTTACCTTTGGTCTCTTGCTCTCCTAAAGTGGTCAAGTAACAATGAGAATGATAGATATAATATAGCTCTTAAGGACAGATAAAACTAAGTTTAATGAAAATTAGTCATCATGATATTTTTAGAAAAATATTAATTTGGTTTTCAATTACTTTTTCATTCTCCAATCACATTTCAAGGATTTGAAATAGAGGTTATTTCTGCATTAAAGAGTTTCATACCTTTTACTTAGTTTCTTTAAAAGGATATTAAAAAAATATTTAAAATGATACTCCCTAGACTGAAGTAATTTTGTTTCCATATAAGAGCAATTAGCTTTGACTAATATTTGATGTATTTTCTTTAAGATTTTTTATGGAACTTTTTAGGTAATTTAAATCTTTTTGGTAGAAAGCATTTAAGTACTATTTGAGGTTAGCTTGAGGTGATAAAAAGATTTTCTTTTATTGCTCTGAGATGAGGCTACATTTATCTATCTATCTGGCCTTTCCAATTACCATATCCTTAACTCTTTAATCAACAATACATAAAATTAGATAAGAAAATAAAACTAGCAGTTAATTGACAACATAAGGTAACTAGATTTTCGTTATTCTGCCATAAGGACACATATATCTTATTGTCTAGTAACTTGTTTGTCATAGAATCACATGTGGAAATATTTATTTTATCGTTGATAGAAAGGATACAACATCAATATATAATTATATATACAATCTACAACCCTTAACGGGAACCAAGATAAAGTACAGTAAGATGCTATAAAACCATATGCTCGATATAACTCTTAACACTCCTCAAGTTGGAGAAAAGATGTTAATCATGCCCAACATTTTAGAAATCAAATCTATTTGTATTTTTTGTAATGGCTTTGTGAGAGTGTCAATAAGCTGGAGATGGAGGGCTAGTGCTCCCGCAACACTGTCTCTAATAAGGCGACAATCAACTTCAAGTCCTCAATTGAAATACTTGATTATTGGCTATATGAATGGATGGCTGACTAGCTATCTATTACACTTGGTAGTTTAGGAAATAGGAAATAAGTAGAGGCATAGTATCTCTAATAATCGAGTGATGAAGGGGCATTTTGGTCTTTCTCATGGTTAGGTTAGTTGAGTGAGTATAAGTAGAAGTTCGGGGAACTGAAGGGGTAGGATTGTTTTGTTTGGTCGGAACTGGAAACCCTGTTCCTTGGGAGATTGTTTTGTAAACCTTTAAACCATTCAATCGTTCAATTAGAAGTTTGTAATTCCATTATGTTCTATGCTAAGTTAGACCTATATTGTGACACTATTGTAATAAAGCCTCATCAAGTTGTTTGTAGTTACACCCAACTCCTCACAAAGTCTTCTTACCCATGAAACTTGCATGAAATATCAACCGTAGTTCTATATGGTGTGGACCCTAATGTTGCACCCTAATGAAATATCCTCGTAGAGTATTTTTCCAAGAGATTAGATTACTTCCGAAGTGTTGCACCCTAATGACTTGTACATGGTGTGGAAACAAAACACTAACAAGTTGACTGTTGGGTAGTTTTATTTCCCAACGAGTCTCATGTATAATTCGGATCCTTGATAAGTTTTCCGTCTTCAGTTTAGGAGCCAACAACTCACACTCATTAAGCATGTCAAGAACGTATTTTCATTGACATAATAGAATCCCTTGAGGAGACTAGGCGATTTCTATATGAAGAAAGTAACGAAGACGACCTAGATTCGTGAATTTAAATTTAAGATTGAAGAAAATGTTTTAACTCTAAAATCCATGTGTTGTCATCTCCGGTGATGCTTATGTGAATCACGTAGACTACTAGGATAATTTGACAACCATTATGATGTCCGAAGAACACATGGTAATTCTAGGAACTATGAGCCGTACTGAATTCCTGAAGAACATAGAGAATCATACAAACCGTATACATACCTTAGATGCCTCCTCCTTAATAATAAAATTGGGTGTCTGCTTCATATGTACCTCCTTATTTTGAAAAACATTCTTGATGTCCAACTGATGAAACTGCCAATGATTAATGAAAACTTTTGCAATACAAATACGAACAAACGACATTTTGGCCACAGGAGAAAAAGTTTCATCATGCTTAATCTCATATGTTTAAGAGTCAAACTTGGCAACTAATCGAGCTTTCAATCTATGTAAAGAGCACTTGGCAACCAAGCGAACTCTTATAGCATAACATGTGAGATGTGGAAATGTTTCTTATGTCATTGATAGCAAGGATACAAGCTCAATATATATACAATATTCAACCCATAAAGGGAAACTAAGATACTATAAAATCCTATACTATATATATCTATAACATTTTTTCAAGTGATACCGTTTTGATTTTGAAAATAAGGAATAAAACCTAAGAGCCGTTATCTCAATCTTGTGATGTTTATTTAGCAAATATGTAACACCCCTTGTATAGAATAGAAAGGGAGGATACACCTAGGGGCAAATTGAATCCCATTCAGGTGAAACTTGACTAATTAAGATCAGTTTGACAAATTTGGAACATAAGGTTTATGTTGGACCTTTGAAGGTTTTGATAAATAGACACTTTCGTGTTGAATTAGTGGTTATCTTGAAGTAATAAATCACACATAAGATAGAAACAAGTAGTTATTGTTTTACCAATTGATAAATCTGATATATGAAGTAAGTTTAGCTTAATATTTCTTAGATTTGTAAACAAAATGTATTGGAAGCATACTTCTATGTTAAATAATTCAAAGTTGCTATAAAGCTGTCATCTTTTGAGGTAGGTTGTCATTGTAGAAAACTTTGGTAACAAAGTATGTTGAAATTGAAAAATGCATTGTCTTCCTTGCAAAATAGTTCATATAAGTATATAACCACAACAACAACATACATTTCATTCATGGGAAATTGATTATAACAACTATTAGAAAAACAAAAACCCTTTATAAAACAACATTTAAAAGTTTAAAATAAATTACCAATCCTCTATATAACGTTAAAGTGTCTTGAAACACTATTAGCAAGGCTAGAGTAAACGACCAATCCACGATATCAAGTTCAAGCATGTACGCCACACAACAACAAACATTTAAAACACCATGCATTTACGTCTAAAACACGAGATAACAAGTCTTAAAAATAATGAATAGAAATTTAATTTCTCATTTCGGCTCTCCTTGATCACCACTGCTACCCGCCACATCACCCACCACGTCAGATGAAATTTTTGTTTTCGTAGTTTCCACAGACTCGAAATTGGAGGGAGTTTCATGTTGAGGAACTAGAATGACTGCACCAAGATCAGTCTCGAGTGTTGTGGACTTAGCAACATCTGCTCGGTCAATAAGTACATCTCCATCCCTCGGTTTCTTGAGATATACTTCGGGTTGTTCATGCGCAATGTCAAGCAATTGCTTGCTAAATTGTTCAACTGGTGTAAGAGCATGCTGGTCAAAATTAGTCCTTTTACGTTTGAGAGCGTTTTCAAAAGGCAACTGACTTGGATTTGGATCTGCAGACCGATAAAACACATATTGTCTGCTTAACATGGTAAAATATAACAATTTTAGGATACATTATTTGTATGTATAAAAAATAATATTATTTTAGATTTTGTATACAAAATTTAAATTGCATGTCTAAAAATACTATTTTCATGATATTATTAGTCACCAATTACGTAAATATACAACTTTCTTTTGTCAAATTATATAAAAACTAGTATTTAAGTCAACTCGCATGTTGCGGTAGAGAACTCGTTTGCAATTAATAAAAGCGAAAACTATAAAAAAAGATTATGTAAGAGAACAAAACGTAATTTTAACATATAAGATAACTCATTTGCAATTCATATATAGAATATGATTTACAAATGTTAACAATCTAATATATGATACGGTGACGATTAGGTAGACCACAAAAGTGTTAAAATAATGTTTTGATCCAAACAATTACGTATGGCAAAGGCGGACAAATATAAGACTTGATAGTATATCAATATAAATAAATACCGTAAAAGTTTATATCGTTTAAATAAAAAGCAATATTAAGAAAAACAAAAACTATAAAAAAAATTTATGTAAGAGACTAAAACGTAACTTTAAAATATAGCAAATGACCAAAATCGCAACTTATAAAATCCTAATAGTTTAACTTTAAACTTATGAAAGATAAAAACCGTTAGATCAAAAAAATTTGAGAAAAAATAGTATAATTTAGTATTTTTGGTTCTGAAAAAAAAAAACAAATGTATATAATTAATATATTTATAGATATAATAGATATAATAAAAATGTATATATACTAGTCGCCCCCTCTTATTTTGAGCATTTTCGAAAATTGGCTTCGACATTTTGGGGGACTTCTAGCAGGCTACAATACGGATGGGCAATCGGTTCACATATTGCAAAACTGCTGAAGTTTTATAGAAATTCTCAATGAGCGAAACTCAAATTTCAGTCAGCAGAACGTGATGATCTTAGAGAGGTGAAATAATCGCAGAGGTAATTTAATGTCGCGATTTAATTAACTACTTCATACCTGTTTATTCCATTTGTCTCGTGTTTTCGTTAATTTCGTTGATTATTGTGATTAATTTGAAGTTATCGTAGCGACTTCTTCTGATTTTGGTCTTCCGGTAGTTAATTTGCTTTTATTTGCGTCGAATCCTTTTGTAAAAACAAATGATTGTAGATAAAACTGTTGCGCATTTTTTGTGTGTGTGTGTGTTATTACCATGTGTGGTGGGTTTAGTTGACGAAGAGCCTGAGGCTGGGTCATAATCCGAGTCTTCATCAGTCTCAGTGCCCTGCAATTCTTTCATGGCATGCTTAGGAATGTAGTCGTTTAAGGTGCGTCTAGTCCTCCACCTTGACCCACACGCATTACACAACACTGGTTTTTCCGCTGGCCCATTTCTCCATAATGGAGTCTCTGTTCAACATTGTAATCCATCAATTAATTCACTTTACATTAGGATACAACACAGATGCCTAATATCATGCTTCAAATGTGTGTATATGTTTACATTATGCATATTTAGAAACACAAATGTGAGGAATAAACTTAGAAATCATGTGAAAGATTGTAGAATGTCTATTATGTTGGCTCTGTTTAAGTTAAGAAATTCTTGTATCAAGTCTATAAATGTGTATATCAGATTTGGAATCTGGCATAGTGTTCATTCAGAAATGCGGATGAAAGTTAATATCTTGAAAGGAAAGGCTATTGCTGTCATTTATAACATATCATTGTGCATACCAACCTTGGAAGTATATATAGGTTACATTTGTTATAAGAAATCACATTAGCAAATAAAGATTTGTGCTCAAGATTGCTGAACTATATATTAAATAGGTGCATGACTTTGAAAACTTGTATATCGAAGAGCTTGGTATTATACAAAAATCATAAAATATTGCTAACGAGCAATGCAATTATGTTAACGATTTTAAGTAGTATTTGACACGTATAACAACACATTTAATAAAAAGAAAGATACTAGGAAGGTAAATAATAAGATAAATAATAGAGAAATGAGATTGAAATGCTCATACAAAAAACCAAATAGGAATGAAATTGCTAGATAGGGAAAGCCTTACCCTCAATTCCACAATGGTAGCAAGGTCCTTCTTTCACCATGATTACTGATGCTTTCAGAAACTTTAACACTATTACAAAAAGAAACCAAATTGAACACAGAAGCAACAAGGATCTAAAACATAAAAGTTCAAATTGTGATAGGGTTACCCCTCTCTTGATAATGGCTCTAGAAGTGGTCAAGTAACAGTTGGAATGATAGGTATTATATAACCCATTAACCTTCAATGACAGATAAGATCAAGTTCAATGAAAACTAGTCATCATGATATTTCTGGAAAAATATTTATTTGGTTTTCATTTTCCTTTCACACACTCCAATCACTTCCATTTCTGCATTAATTTTTATTTTAACCTTTTACTTACTTTCTTTAAAAGGATTTTAAAAATATATATCAAATGATACTCCCTAGACTGAAGTTATTTTTTTTCCATATAAGAGCAATTGTCTTTGACTAATATTTGATGTATTGTCTTTAAGTCAAGATTAGTTAGTGAACTTTTTAGGTAATTTTTATATTTTGGTAGAAGGCAATCAAGTACTTGTTAAGTGTAGGTTGAGACGATTAAAGATGAGGCTTCATTTATCTAATCCATATTCTTAATTCCATAATCAGTTGTATAGACATAGACAAGAAACTACAATTAGCTTTTAATTGACAACATAAGGTAACTAGATTCACAGTTGTTTAGTCATAAGGACACATATGTTATTGCTTAATGTCTAGTCTGTGATAGATCATAGATTCGAAAATGTTTCTTGTGTCATTGATATGAAGGATATAAACTCAACATGTGTACAAAACAAGCTTATAAGCTACCTTTTTAAAAAGCTACTTATACTAGCTTTTCAGGAGCTTTCTAAATTTTTTCCAAATATACCCATTAATTAATTATAGAAAACATATTCTTTTTAATGTCCTTTTTATGTCATTTTATATCATTCAGCTAGTTTTACCAAACGTTATTTTTTATCAGCTAGTTTTCAGCTATCAGCTAGCTTTTCACATAACATTGTTCAAGTAATAAAGTTTTGATTATGAAAATGAGAAAGGCTTGTTATTTATATGATTATATCTATATATATATATATATATATAGTCATCTCAATGTTGTAATTTGCATGTAGGAAATATGTAACATTTAAGTATATAGTATATTATGTAGTAAATTAGGAACACTTAGCTCTTTTTTGGTAATACATGCAATGTTGCGATTTCTACTTAAAAATAAAATCAAAAACATTTGGAAGGATTGTTTCCTTTTTCAAAAATGAAGATGGAATCAGAAATAGAAGTTAAGTTTTACTGAGTTTAAAAACTCAACCTGATTGTGGGCAACCAATTTGAAACTGTGGAAGTCGATTAAATAAATTAACTTCTTCATGTAAACCTTAAAAGATATCATGTAGTAACATTAACTTTCTTGCTACAAAATCAAGGGGCCATATGTTGATCACATTTCAAGCTTTATTTACACTTGCAAACTATTTAAATTCTATCATGCAATTTTTCAATCTAATTGTTGTATTGCTCTTCATGGGTTGAATAGTTGAACTTTTTCAGCTAAATCCATCAATTCAGAAAAATGTGTTCCATGAAAAGGCAGCCTAAGGCTATTTTCATGGCCTTTGGAACCAAAGGCGATGTTTATCCAATAGCAGTAACTCTCTCTCCCTCCTTTTCTTGCTCTATTTTCTAATTTTATATAATTAATATAAAATATTAACAGCTTTATATTAATTATTCATATGTATCTTCTATAGGCAATTGCTGCAGCTTTTACTTGTGACCAAATGCAATACAATGTTATTTTTATAACACATTCTGCACATCAGGTTTTTGGTATACTTTGTAATTTATGTACTTGGTTTTTAAAAAAGTGGTATAAAATATAAAAATCAAGTGTAAAAACATATATAACATTTGTCTCTTGTTCTTAGCAGGATATAAAGGAACATCTAACAAGAAAAAAAGTCACATGCTTTCCTGTTTCATCTCCTCCTGCTCTTTCTCCTTGTGAATTTAACAACACTTCAGGTACTTTTTATTGCCACTATACCTCATTTACTTCTCAAATTTTTTTTTACGAAAAAACCCTCACATTTGACAATTATTTTTTGGAAAAAAAGTTGAGGGGTTTAAAATGTTTGTGTATGTTTGGAGTTTCTCAGGTTTTCATGAAGAGAAAAAGAAAGTCACAAGAGACCATAGACAAGAATGTGTTGTCATATTTGAAAACATCTTTTGTGATGTGGCGTCCATGGAGGGCGATTTGGTCATTATAAACTTCTTTGCATTGGTAATTTCTGCCTCACACCTAAAAAGGTGAATTAACCTCTACAAAAACAAACATATCTGTGCAGTTTATCTAATTATTTTAAAGAAAATCTTTTTCTTATGAACACATGTATTTTTTTTTTTTTTGGAAGCAGGAAGGTTGGAGCCTTGCAGAGGTTTTTGATGTCAGATGTGTGGTAGCAGCTCCTTATGTTGTCCCTTATAGGTATTTTTTTATTTTTATTTTTTATTTTTTATTTTCTTTATGTGTCTGTTTTTTTTCATAGTGCTCCTTCTTCCTTTGAACGAAAATTCAAACAAGAGCTTCCACTTTTATATGATTATCTTCAAACAGCTCCAACTAACAAGGTAAAAAAATCTCAAATCCTCCATATTTTTATAAAAAACTTGGCTAACATATTTATAATCTTTAAATTTTGTTTAAAAATTTAATTAAGATTTGTTGGAAAGATGTAATTCACTGGATGTGGCCACTATTTACTGAAGACTGGGGTACATGGAGATCTACAAAATTACACTTAAGTCCCCTACCTTTCACAGTATGTATAAAAAAATCTTCCAATAATTAATTTTTTTTTTGGGCTTTATTATTTTCAATTGTTGACTATGGTCAACTATGTATCTATAGGATCCAGTCACAAGTCATCCCATGTGGCACAATAGACCTTTCTCTCCTTTACTACTGTAAGATTAAACAACTATTAAAATTAAACATATTTTTATATTATTTTAATTTTCACCACTTTTATATAACAGATATGGTTTCAGCAAACAAGTTGTAGAATGCCCTGGTATAAAACTATAAAACTATAAATTTACAATTTGAAAAATTTTAATGGTTTCAAATTATAATTTGCTATTATGTATTTATAATTCATGTTAGGTTACTGGCCTTCAAATGTTCATGTTTGTGGCTTCTGGAATCTTCCTATGGAGTGGCAGTTCTCGTGCAAAGAGTGTGCACAAATTACAGTTTTGCCCTCTTCAAAAAATATGAACAAAGAAGCTTTATTGTGTTCAGCTCACACCAAATTGCAACACTTTTTAAATGCTCCAGCATCACAACCACCTGTTTTCATTGGTTTGAGTTCCATTGGAAGGCAAGTTTTATAATTTATATTTACAAAATAATTATTACATAAATACCCTCCTGCACTTTCTGTTGTATTTATGCTTTTTTTATAAACCCTTGAAAAATGCTTCCTTTATGCAGCATGGGGTTTATGAAAAAACCTCATTTGCTACTTCAAGTTCTTGGAAGTGTTGTAGAGGTGACAAATTACCGATTTATCCTTTTCACATCTGGATATGGACCTCTGGATGCTGCAACAAGATTTCTTGCTGGAGAAGCATCATCTAATTCTTGTCAAGAAATCAAAGATGGAATTTCTCTTTTTCGTGACAGGATTTTTTGCTTCTCAGGGTAAAAACTAAAAAGCATCTTTGAAAATTATATTTACTTTTTAATTTTTTTTTTCTTATTAAGACATTATCCTTTTTATATATTATAAAATTTTTCAATAGTTCTGTACCCTACAAATGGCTGTTCCCAAAATGTGCTGCTGCTATTCATCATGGAGGCAGGTAAATTTGTTATTTAAAGGTCTATATCTTTTAAGACAATTTTACCCTTCTCTGTACTAATGTTCTATGTTGTGTATAATCTGGTTTGACTAGTGGATCAACTTCAGCAGCCTTGCATGCGGGAACTCCACAGGTGTGTTTGGACAACTTTACCCTTGATTAGTATTAGTTACATTAACAGAAAAAGGAAAAGGGCAATTTAGGAATTATTGATGGATGGCAATGGCAATGGCATACATACACAGGTAGTGTGTCCATTTGTGCTGGATCAATTTTATTGGGCAGAGAGGATGTTTTGGCTTGGAGTTGCTCCTGAAGCCCTCAAGAGAAATCAATTGGTCCCACATGAAGATGATGACATCAGCATAAAGGAAGCTGCAATTGCTCTTACTAAAGCAATTGATTTTGCTTTATCTTCACAAGTCAAAGAAAATGCCTCAAAAATTGCTCAAAGATTGTCTTCTGAGGTAATACTGTTGGTTGTTTTCCAAGGGTATTTTAGACATTTTGATTTTATGTTTTATATTTTTGACAACTTCATGTTGCCCGTTTTAGGATGGTGTGTTGGAAGCAGTTGAGATGCTGAAACAAAGTAATAATGCAAGTCAGTCCCCCAAAGAAGACTAATTCAAAGCTTTTAAAAATTTAATTCAACAAGTGATTTGATCAAAATTGTCACATCTTATTATAAGTATGCAAGATTGATTTCTACAATGATTATCAAATGAAATGATGACTAGTGTCTTGCGATATATATAACCTTATAAAAAAATAGCAATACATAGGTTATTATATTTTTTTTTCTCTAAAAAATCCTTTTTATAAGTTTTGTTAAAATGACGTATACATATATATATTTTGAATGATGTATCAAATGTATGTCATAGATTTTGTCATCAAAACTTACAAGCTTAAATCGGTCGACACGTTAACAAAATTACATGAGTGGAATGTTTTTGTAAGTATAATGCTTTAGCATGTCGAAAAAAAATGTATGAGAAAAAAATGTTATTCTATAACTTTTATTCAAATAAAAAAACTTTATTCTATAATTTTGACTCGCATAATAAACTAATAATAAACTCGTTCAAGGGCGGAGCTTTATTAGGGCAAGGGGGTGTTGTGGCCCCCTCCTGATTTTTTTTTGGTTAGAAGGAG